GTTTTTGAAATTGAGTTGAGCTGATTTTGATTTGACTTGACTTTGCTTGATTTGATTTTGCTTGATTTGATTTGACTTGGCTTTGCTTGATTTGACTTTGCTTGCTTATTTGCTTGCTTGCTTATTTACTTATTTGCTTATTTGCTTGCTTATTTATTTGCTTATTTGCTTGCTTGCTTATTTACTTATTTACTTATTCTAACTTGATGACTGTACCTAGAATCAATGATGATTGATTTAGGCAAGTCACTTGAGATTGACATTATTGAAATTGAAAGTGACTTGATTGGTATTATTATTGTAGTTGGTATTGATATTCATTGAAGAATATCCTAACCATAAGTAAGTTGAGTAGCTGTGGTTTGATAATAACAGCATAATGCGAATGAACGCAGGAGATAAATGGAGTTGAAGTGTATTCATCCATTTTGATTGATTGGTTTAATTATTAATCCTTCTGATTGATAATAATCTGGTCGATCCTGCCAGTAGTCATACGCTCGTCTCAAAGATTAAGCCATGCATGTGTAAGTCTAAATAGTTTTAGTGTGAAACTGCGAATGGCTCATTATATCAGTTATAGTTTATTTGGAATAGTTTCTATATGGATAACCGTAGTAATTCTAGGGCTAATACATGTGTTTTCTTTGATGGGCAACCATTAAAGAAGTACTTATTAGACATAAAACCAATTTAATGTTGTTGTGAGTAATAATAATTGTTGACTTTATCGCATGCTTGTTAGTAGCGATGTTCCTTTCAAGTTTCTGCCCTATCAGCTTTCGATGGTAGTGTATTGGACTACCATGGCAGTAACGGGTAACGAAGAATTTGGGTTCGATTTCGGAGAGGGAGCCTGAGAGATGGCTACCACATCCAAGGAAGGCAGCAGGCGCGTAAATTACCCAATCCTGACACAGGGAGGTAGTGACAATAAATCTCAATACGAAGCCTTTGGTTTTGTAATTGAATTGAGAACAATGTACAATCGTTATCGATAAACAATTGGAGGGCAAGTCTGGTGCCAGCAGCCGCGGTAATTCCAGCTCCAATAGCGTATATTAACGTTGTTGCAGTTAAAAAGCTCGTAGTTGAAGTTTAGATAATTTATTGAAAGTGTTTGTATTCGTACATTCTACTTTTATGTAAGTTATCGACATCCAGGTGGGTGCCATGGTTCCGCAAGGAATTGTGGTACTAGACTGGTCATTTACTGTGAGAAAATTAGAGTGTTTAAAGCAGACTTTCTAAATAGTTTGAATAGATTAGCATGGAATAATAAGATTGGCTTTCATAGTCGATTTTTTGGTTTGTTTATGAAAGCAAGATTAATAGGGACAGTTGGGGGTATTCATATTCAATAGCTAGAGGTGAAATTCTATGATTTATGGAAGATGAACTAGTGCGAAAGCATTTACCAAGGATGTTTTCATTAATCAAGAACGAAAGCTAGGGGATCAAAGAGGATTAGATACCCTCGTAGTCTTAGCTATAAACGATACCGACTAGGAGTTAGTAGATGATCCAATGGTGTCTATTAGTACCTTATGAGAAATCAAAGTCTTTGGGTTCCGGGGGGAGTATGGTCGCAAGGCTGAAACTTAAAGGAATTGACGGAAGGGCACCACCAGGAGTGGAGCCTGCGGCTTAATTTGACTCAACACGGGGAAACTTACCAGGTCCAGACATAGGAAGGATTGACAGATTGATAGCTCTTTCTTGATTCTATGGGTGGTGGTGCATGGCCGTTCTTAGTTGGTGGAGTGATTTGTCTGGTTTATTCCGATAACGAACGAGACTTCCGCCTATTAGTTGGATGAAATGGGATTTTTAGCCCCATTATTTTTTCATCAACTTAGAGGGACACTGTGCGTTTGAGTACAGGGAAGCTGGAAGCAATAACAGGTCTGTGATGCCCTTAGATGTTCTGGGCTGCACGCGCGCGACACTGAACTATTCAACGAGTATCTGAGTCGATAGACTTGGGAAATCTTTTGAAAATAGTTCGTGATGGGGATTGATGCTTGTAATTTTTCATCATGAACGAGGAATTCCTAGTAAATGCAAGTCATCAACTTGCGTTGATTACGTCCCTGCCCTTTGTACACACCGCCCGTCGCACCTACCGATTGGATGATCCGGTGAACACTTTGGATTTTTAATTATTTATCGGCTTGCTGGTAGATAGTTGAAGAGAAGTCGTGTAAATCTTATCATCTAGAGGAAGGTGAAGTCGTAACAAGGTTTCCGTAGGTGAACCTGCGGAAGGATCATTATCGTGTATTGTTGTGGGTTGTGGCAGTGATTGCTACATAGCATTGGAAATTGTGAATGTATTGTGGTTGTTGATTTTGAGTTATTTCATTGTTATAACTCTTCACGATGGATATCTTGGCTCTTGAATCGATGAAGAACGCAGCGAACTGCGATACGTAATGCGAACTGCAGAAGTCTGTGAGTCATTGAATCTTTGAACGCATATTGCACTTCCTTTGGGAGT